AGCGATGTGGAGCATCTTTTCATGTGCCTGTTGGCCATCTGAATTTCTTCTTTGGAGAAGTGTCTGTTCAGATCCTCTGCCTATTTTTTTAATTGGCTTATTTGAGTTTTGTTTGTTGAGGTGCATGAGCTCTTTATATATTTTGGATGTCAACCCTTAATCGGATCTGTCATTTATGAATATATTCTATGATACTGTAGGATGTCTTTTTGTTCTATTGATGGTGTCCTTTGCTGTACAGAAGCTTTTCAGTTTGATGTAGTCCCACTTGTTTATTTTGGCTTTTGTTTCCCTTGTCTGGGGAGATATGTTCATGAAGAAGTTGCTCATGTTTATGTCCAAGAGATTTTTGACTATGTTTTTTTCTAAGAGTTTTATGGTTTCATGGCCTTCATTCAGGTCTTTGATTCATTTTGAATTTGCTTTTGTGTATGGGTTAGACAATGATCCAGTTTCATTCTCTTATATGTAGCTGTCCAGTTTTGCCAACAACAGCTGTTGAAGAGGCTGTCATTTCCCCATTGTATGTCCATGGCTCCTTTATCATATATTAATTGACTATGTATGTTTGGGTTAATATCTGGACTCTCTATTCTGTTCCACTGGTCTGTGGGTCTGTTCTTGTGCCAGTACCAAATTGTCTTGATTACTGTGGCTTTGTAGTAGAGCTTGAGGTTGGGTAGCGAGGTCCCCCCTGCTTTATTCTTCCTTCTGGCTATTCGGGGTCTATTGTGGTTCCATATAAATTTTAAAACTGTTTGTTCCAGTTCATCTGCAACAGGGACAATTTGACTTCTTCCTTGCCTATCTAGATGCCTTTTATTTCTTTGTTTTCTCTGATTGCCGTGGCCAGGACCTCCAGTTGAATAAAAGTGGGGAGAGTGGGCATCCCTGTCTTGTTCCCAATCTTACAGGAAAAGCTTTCAGCTTCTCGCCATTAAATGTGATGTTGGCTGTGGGTTTGTCATATATGGCCTTTATTATTTTGAGGTACTTGCCCTCTATACCCATTTTGTTGCGAGTTTTTATCATGCATGGATGTTGAATTTTGTCGAATGCTTTTTCAACACCTATGGAGATGATCATGCAGGTTTTGTCCTTCTTTTTGTTGATGTGGTGGATGATGTTGATGGATTTTCAAATGTTGTACCATCCTTGCATCCCTGAGATGAATACCACTTGATCATGGTGTTTGATTGTCTTGATGTATTTTTGTATTTGGATTGGTAATTCATTGTTGAGTATTTTTGCATCTATGTTCATCAGGTATATTGGTCTGTTTAGATTTTCTGTTTCTTCCTTTGTCAGTCTTCGAAGGTTGTGTTTTTCTAGGAAGTTGTCCATTTCTTCTAGGTTTTCCCACTTGTTAGCATATAAATTCTCATAGTAGTCTCTAATAATTCTTTGTATTTCTGTGGGGTCCATCATGATTTTCCCTTTCTGATTTCTGATTCTGTTGAGAGTGTAGATTCTCTTTTTCTCTTAATAAGTCTGGCCCAGGTCTTATCTATTTTGTTTATTTTCTCAAAGAACCAGCTCTTGTTTTCTTTGATTTTTTATTGTTTTATTCTTCTCAATTTTATTTATTTCTCCTCTGATCTTTATTATGTCCCCCCTTCTGCTGACTTTAGGCCTCATTTGCTCTTCTTTTTCCAATTTCGATAATTGTGACTTTAGACTATTCATTTGGGATTGTTCTTCCTTCTTTCAATATGCCTGGATTGCTAAATACTTTCCTCTTAAGACTGCTTTCGCTGCGTCCCACAGAACTTGGGGCTTTGTGTTGTTGTCATTTGTTTCCATATATTGCTTGATCTCTATTTTGATTTGGTCATTGATCCATTGATTATTTAGGAGCATGTTGTTAAGCCTCCATGTGTTTGTGGGCCTTTTTGCTTTCTTTGTACAATTTATTTCTAGTTTTATACCTTTGTTGTCTGAGAAGTTGGTTGGTAGAATTTCAGTCCTTTTGAATTTACTGACGCTCTTCTTGTGCCCTAGTATGTGGTCTATTCGGGAGAATGTTCCATGTGCCCTTGTGAAGAATGTGTATCCTGTTGCTTTTGGATGTAGAGTTCTGTAGATGTCTGTTAGGTCCATCTGTTCTAGTGTGTTGTTCAGTGCCTCTGTGTCCTTACTTATTTTCTGTCTGGTGGATCTGTGCTTTGGAGTGAGTGGTGTGTTGAAGTCTACTAAAATAACTGCATTGCATTCTATTTCCTCCTTTAATTCTGTTAGTATTTGTTTCACATATGTTGGTGCTCCTGTATTGGTGCGTATATATTTCTAATGGTTATATCCTCTTGTTGGATGGATCCCTTTATCATTATATAATGTCCTTCTTTATCTCTTGTGTCTTTCTTTGTTTTGTAGTCTATTTTGTCTGATACTAGTACTGCAACACCTGCTTTTTTCTCCTTGTTGTTTGCATGAAACATCTTTTTCCATTCCTTGACTTTTAGTCTGTGCATGTTTTTGGGTTTGAGGTGCGTCTCTTGTAAGCAGCGTAAAGGTGGGTCTTGCTTTTTTATCCATTCTATTACTCTGTGTCTTTTGATAGGTGCATTCAATCCATTTACCTGTAGGGTGATTATTGAAAGATATGTACTTATTCCCATTGCAGGCTTTGGGTTTGTGGTTACCAAAGGCTCAAGGTTAACTTCTTTACTATCTTACTGTCTAACTTAACTCGCTTATTGAGCTATTATAAACACAGTCTGATGATTCTTTATTTCTCTTCCTTCTTATTCCTCCTCCTCCATTCTTTGTATGTTAGGTGTTTTGTGTGTGTGTGTGTGCTCTTTTGTATTTCCTTTGACTGCTTTTGTGGGTAGTTGATTTCATTTTTTGCCTTGAGTTAGTATTTGATTGTTCCGCTTTCTTTACTGTGATTTTATTTTCTCTGGTGACATCTGTTTAGCCTTAGGAGTGCTTCTTCCATCTAGAGCTATCCCTCTAAAATACCCTGTAGAGGTGGTTTGTGGGAGGCAAATTCCCTCAACTTTTGCTTGTCTGGGAATTGTTTAATCCCTCCTTCATATTTAAATGATAATCATGCTGGATACAGTATCCTTGGTTAAAGGCCCTTCTGTTTCATTGCATTAAATATATCATGGCATTCTCTTCTGGCCTGTAGGGTTTCTGTTGAGAAGTCTGGTGATAACCTGATGAGTTTTCCTTTGTAGGTGACCTTTTTTCTCTTTCTGGCTGCCTTTAATACTCTGTCCTGGTCTTTGATCTTTGCTATTTTTATTATTATGTGTCTTAGTGTTATCCTCCTTGGGTCCCTTGTGTTGGGAGTTCTGTGTGTTTCTGTCATCTGAGAAGCTATTTCCTCCCCCAGTTTGGGGAAGTTTTCTGCAATTATTTCTTCAAAGACACTTTCTATCCCTTTTTCTCTCTCTTCTTCTTCTGGTGCCTCTATAATGAGGATATTGTTCCTTTTCGATTGGTCACACTGTTCTCTTAATATTCTTTCAGTCCTGGAGATCCTTTTATCTCTCTCTGCATCAGCTTCTCTATGTTTCTCTTCTCTGATTTGTATTCCATTAATGGCCTCTTGCATCTCGTCCATTCTGCTTTGAAGTCCTTCCAGAGATTGTTTTATTTCTGTGTTCTCCCTCCTTAGCTCTTACATATTTCTCTGCAAGTCCTTCAGCATGGATGTTACCTTTATTGTGAATTCTTTTTCAGGAAGATTGGATAGGTCTATCTCCCCAGGTTCCCTATTGGGAGGATATCTGTGTTATTCTGGTCTGAATCAAATCCTTCTGCCTTTTCATGGCAATGGGCAGATGGTGCATGTGTCAGCTGGGAGAACAAAATCGCTTCCTGCTTGTTCCTTGCAGTTCCTCTCCTGGGACAATGGAGACCCCTAGTGGCTTGTGCTGGGCAGTTGCATGCAGACAGTGTTTCTGATTCTTGCCGGGGCCGCTGTGGAGCTCTGTGTGGTTGCTGTGGGCCTGGCCATCCTCAGTCTTTTGCTCTCCTGTGGATTGGCCGCACCAGAGGGGGAATGGGCGGGAGGCTGTTTATCACTGTTTGGGGCCTCCAAGCTGTGCTGCCACCCAGTGGGTTAGGGCACCCCGGGTTCCCCAGGATTCCCAGCTGCTGGGCTGAGTGTGCTGGGACTCTTCCATCCAGCTGTGAGGCCTCTGTGCCTTTAAGACTTCCAAAAAGCACTCACTTTTCTTTTGTCCCAGGGGTACCAGCTGTGGGGACCCGCTCACAGGTTTTACTGTCCCATTTCCCTGGTATCCAGCACACCATGCACTGTGTGTCTGCGCTCCCTGTGTAGATGGCTAGGGTTTGGTATTCAGCAGTCCTCGTCTCCCACTCCCTCCCTGCTCCGACTCCTCCCCTCCCGCCAGGGAGCTGGGGTGGGGTTGCGCTCGGGTCCCGCCAGGCTGCGGCTTGTATCTTACCCCCTTCGTGAGGCGCTGGGTTCTCGCAGGTGTAGATTTAGCCTGGCTTCTGTCCTGTATCTTCTGATCTCTCTTTTAGTAATAGTTGTATTTGTTGTATTTTCAAAAATATATGTTTTTCGGAGGAGATTTCTGCTGTCCTACTCACACCACCATCTTGGCTCCTCCATCCCATGTTAAATTTTTAAGAGAATTTGGAGAGATGAACATTTCTGTACCTTTGCAGAATTTGTAAAGTAAGACATTAATGCCTTATGAATTACAATAAATTATAATTATGATAAATTTACATTTAAAATTTCATTCTCTGTTGTTCTTGTCCATACATTAGTGACTTCTGTTGAAGTAAGAGTTTCAGAGGAATTTGTTTTAACAAGCAATATTCTCAGGCCCTTAGAAACAATGAATAACATGTCAGTTTTTTATGTAATGAAATGGGAAAAGTTCCCTTAGTTAAGATTTTTGCTTTTCAAGAATACAAATAATGATTCTGTATACTAAGGAAAAAGATTTACCTTTATGTTGTATCACAGAATTTTTATGCTTTTAACCCCTCTTTCCAATGTTTACATTCAGAAGCGATTATTGGAAGCTATGGAGACATGTAATGACTCCCTCAAAAATGAAGAGAGGAAAAGAAACCAACACAGTGAGTGCCTAATGTGCTGGTATGATAGAGACATACAGTTCACCTACCCCTCTCCATGGCCAGAAAAGTTTCCTGCCATAGAACGATGTTGCACAAGGTAATCTTAATTGGTAATTTTTCAATGAGAGTTCCCCACCAACCAAAAAATAAAGCTTTTAAATGTTTGAATAATTAACAGATCACTTATAACAGTTATAGTCAGTTGATAATGAGTTACATCCAAATTGCTAAGGATCATACCATCTCTGTCTCAGTTGTTTCTGCTGCTCTGCTTTGGTCAGATTCTGCTTCTCTCTTTTCATCTTCCATTAAAGTTGTTTTTTATTTTTTCTCTCTAGTATATATGTATATTCTTCTTCAAGAGGATGTATGAATTTTTGTTTCCACTGCCAGTATCTGTTCCCAGCATTATTTGACACACTACAAGTTTGACTTATACTCCCCAACCACCCAACTAAAAAGGAGAAACAAAGAAATAGAAGAGTTCCTATATTTTCTTGCCTCAAATCCATTTCTTCTTTCTATTCTTCATTAAAATGTCTTCTTTGTTTCCTCTCTTCTCTAATCTTCCCTGCATATAATTTGTCCAGATGGCAATTACATTGCAGATAATGTGAATACCAGTCAGTTACGATTTTTCCTTTCGTTAAAGCAGAGAGAAAGATGAAATACAAATTATAAAATGTTCATTGTCCATTCTTGGTTTTGGAACATGGAGGATATGAAGATTTGTAAAATGCTTTATACATTATTTTATTTTTAAAATTAATTGTGTTTATATAGTGTTCTTTTAAATTAATGTGGAAAATATCTATTTAGTAATCTGCAGGCATGGTTGTGTCTGGACCAATAATAGCAGAGATTCTGGGTTGTCTTACTCTACATTTTTTTTCTCTTAAAAGAGGAATTGTCATGCCCTTGTTTATAAGCCATGATGACTTTTGTAAAGTACTCAGGAAATGCTGAAAAACTGTGATTGTTTATAATGTCTGAATTTTAAATTAAGTCTTGATTTATTTTCTAGGTATAAAATAATATCACTAGATGCTTGGCGTGTAGACATAAGCAAGAACAAAATAACCAGGGTTGATCAGAAGGCATTATATTTCTGTGGATTTCCTACATTGAAACACATCAAACACAAAGTCAGTAGCTTTTCAGAATTATATCACTTTATTGCATGTGAAGTGATTATGGAGAAAATATTAAAATTAATTTCTCTGAATTCTTTTCAAGTTTTTTTTGAAGAAAAATGGGGTTCAAGTATTCCAGCAAAGTAGTCGTGGAGAAAACATGATGTTGGAAATCTTAGTGAATGCAGAAACAGATGAGCTTGTAAGTATTTTCTTTATTACATGTTTATTAGATGCTTATCATGCATAAAACTGTTCTAGTTGCAGTTTGTTTCCCAAAGACTTCTAACGGGTACTAAATCCAAAGTTCACAGTAAATAAGGATAATAATGTAAAGAAGCATTTACGTAAAAGGCATGTATAATTATGATATAATGATCAAAAAATGGTCCAGGAATTTTAAAAATGAGATAAGCTATGTGAGGTAAGGATAGGTACAGACCTGTAGATGAGAATAGGCTTGAGCTGAGTGCTAAAATAAAAGTTATGACAAAGAGAAGAAAAGGCAGGGAAGAGTATTTGAGTTGAAAGGATTAACGAGCTGGCAATTGTAGGCAAAGTAAATACAATATGTATCCTATTCTTTTTAACCTTTTTATATCTGAAGTTTTCCTAATATTTTTTCTTTTTTATAAAATAAATTTGATGTATTTAAGGAGGAGGAATAGATAAACCTCACTGCAGCAGAGGATTTGTGTTGGGAAGTAGCGGCAGATAAGGTTGAAATAACAGATTGAGGCCAGATTATGGAGGACCTTAAATACCAGGCTAAGGATTTTGGACTTTTTTTCATGACTGTTACCTTGAAGTTGGTATTTTCATATAGATTAATTTGGTGGCAGTATAATAGACTAAATTTGGCATAAGGCACATGGAAGATAATGGGAAAGCCTGCAAATTCAGAGGTTGTAGAAGCTTTAGGAGATAAGGACATAAACTGTGGAAGTGATAATAGATCTAAATGAATAAAACTAAATAAAAATTGTCAAGTTTCATCATTCATTCAAATATAGGGAATGAAAAGGGAAAGATAATATTAAATATGACTCTGATATACCCAGGCTAATTAAGTAGAAAATACTTGCTGTTTACTGAAATAAAGAAGTTAAAATGTGAGGGTTGTTTTTTATGGGGATTAATGATAAATAATAAGGGAATTTGAAAGTAGTGCTAGGACATTTAACTGGAGCTGCCCTGACAGGCTTTCTCAACAAGTGTTCTACAAGAGACTTAAGCTCCAATGCCCTAAGTCATCCATTTGTATATAATGGATTAACTTATCTTATAGGCATCTAGAATGGTACTATTTATATACCATCCTTGGGAGAATTGAGATAATAGTCAAATTGCTTTTTTTATGCTGTGGTTCTGATGAAAAATGTTCATTGAGAAAGTCTGCTTATACACTATTTAATACCTGGAGCTACAGGTAAGGAGATAAGGACGCAGACAGGGGTATACAAGTCATCAGAAGGAGGTGATGGCTGAAACCTTGGAGTTTATTTCCCTGAAGCAAAGGGACTTTAAGGGTTCAATTTCTCAGCATAAAAAATGGTGGGGCTGAACACAAAGAAGAGGTGGAGCACTCGGGGAGTCTGACACTCTAGCCATTTGTGGAGGAGAGGAATGCTCCAGCAGTCTCACTGACTGAAAACAGAGGCGGCAGTTGGAAAGATTTACCAGCAGCAGAAAGAGTGCCAGAGGGGCAATGGTTGGATGGAGCTCTCTCTTCGGGAGAATGTTAGGAAGACAGATCCCTAGTATGCCATCAGCCCGACAAGTTGGGCACTCTAAAGAACCCAAATGCTCCATGTTTTTGCTGGGTTCTCAACTCCAGTTAGCCCAGAGGCACTTTCCTGTGAACCAGCCTGCCACTCTTTCTGCTGCATGGAGCTTCCTGCACAGGAGAAGGAATAGGTGGACAAGGTTGTCTGGACAGACTCTTCCCAGCAGTTTGGAAACTTACAGGACCTTCAAGCACTTGATCCCCCTGGCTAGCTTCACAGCTCTGCGGCCCCCCGCTGTGATACTCAGCCTGCTGCGCCTTACTCCTGGCCTGCCAGCACTGGCTCACAAACCGCCAGTCCCTGCCCTGGTGCTAGGCCAGCCAGAGGGAGGCTCCACCAATGGGAGCTACAGACACAAAGCACAGAGGCTTACACCTGTGTGCTCAGCCCACTGGTTCTGACAGTGGAGACAGGCAGTGCAGCCAGGAGGCAAGAAACAGCTCTTTCCTCCCCCCAGGCACCAGCACCACTCCACTCTGAGCCCCAACATCACTCCAGGGGCTGAGCAGCTCCAGAGATTAGAGCTTCTGGGCATTAGAGGGCACAATATACAAATATGAAACGTCAAAAGAAGCTGGTTCAGACCAAAATCTCACAAACACCAGAAAAAGGACCAAATGAGACTGAACTCACCAATCTTCCTGAGAGTTCAAAATAAAAATCATAAACATGCTCATGTAGATGCAGAAAAATATGCAATAAATCAGGGATGAATTTAGGGTGGAGATTCAATCATTAAGGAGTTCCATATCTGAAATGAAACATAAAATGGAGGGATTTAAAAACAGTTTAAATGTAGTAGAAGAGACAGTAAATGGAATAGATAGTAGAGAAAAGGAATATAAAGAAGCTGAAGCACAGAAAAAAGAATCTCTAAGAATGAAAGACTATTGAGAGAACTGTGTGACCAATTCAAATGGAACAATATTCTTATTATAGGGGTACAAGAAGAAGAAGAGAGAGAAAAAGGGATAAAAAGTGTTTTTGAGGAGGTAATTACTGAAAACGTCCCCAAACTGGGGATGGAGAGAGTCTCTCAGACGATGGAGGTGCACTCCCAACAGAAGGGACCCAACGAAGACAACACCAAGACATATAATAATTAAAATGGCAGAGATCAAGGATAAGGACAGACTATTAAAAGGAGCTAGAGAGAGAAATAAAATCACATACAAAGGAATAACAAGCAGGCTATCATCAGACTTCTCAGCAGAAACCTTACAGGCCAGAAGGGAGTGGCATGACATATTTAATGGCAATGAAGCAGAAGGGCCTGGAACCAAGAATACTCTACCCAGCAAGATTATCATTTGAATTTGAAGGAGAGATTAAACAGTTTTCAGATAAGCAAAACCTGAGAGTTTTTACCTCTCACAAACCACCAGTACAGTGCATTTTGGAGAGACTGCTATAGATGGAAGTATTCCTAAGGCTAAATAGCTGTCACCAGAGGAGATAAAAACCACAGAAAAGAAAGTAGAACATTACTAAGAAATTCAAAATCAAATCAACTATCCCCAAAGTCAATCAAGGAATAGAGAAAGAGTACAGAATATGATACGTAATATATAAAGAATGGAGGAGGAAGAAAAGGAGGGAAAGAAAAGAACCTTTAGATTATGTTTCTAATAGCATACTAAATGAGTTAAGTTAGACTCTTACATGGTAAGGGAATTGCCCCTCAACCTTTGGTAACCATGAATCTAAGGCCTGCAATGCCAATAAGTACATACCTATCGATGATCACCCTAAATGTGTATGATCTAAATGTGCCAATCAAAGACATAGAGTCATTGAATGGATAAAAAAACAAGACTCGTCTATATGCTCCTACTAGAGACTCGCTTCAAACCCAAAGACATACACAGACTGAAAGTAAAGGGATGGAAAAAGATAATTTTATACAACTAATAAGGAGAAAAAGCAGGAGTTGCAGTATTTGTATCAGACAAAACAGACTTCAAACCAAAGAAAGTAACAAGAGACAAGGACATTACATAATGATAAAGGGGTCAGTTCAACAAGAGGATATAACTCTTATGAATATCTATTCACCCAACAAAGGATCATCTACATATGTGAAACAAATACTAACAGAATTAAAGGGGGAAATGGAATGCAATGCATTCACTTTAGGAGATTTCAACACACCACTTACTCCAAAGGGAAGATCAACCAGACAAAGTAAGTAAACAGAGGTACTGAACAACATATTAGAACAGGTGGACCTAACGGACATCTACAGAACACTCCATCCAAAAGCAACAGAATACACATTCTTCTCAAGTGCACGCGGAACCTTTTCAAGAATAGATCATATACTAGGCCACAAAAAAAGCCTCAGTAAATTTAAAAAAGATTGAATTTGTACCAACCACCTTATCAGATCACAAAGGTATGAAACAAGAAATAAATTATGCAAAGAAAACAAAGAAGCCTACAAACACATGGAGACTTAATTACATGCTCCTAAATAACCAACGGATCAATGACCAAATAAAAACAGATCAAGCAATATATGGAGACAAATGAAAACAATAATTTAACACCGCAAAATCTGTGGGATGCAGCAAAGGCCATACTTAAGAGGCTTGTATATTGCAATATAGGTCTATCTCAGGAAAGAAGAACAATTCCATATGAACAGTCTAAACTCACAATTAAGAAAACTGGAAAAAGAAGAACAAATGAGGCCCAAAGTCAGTAGAAGGAGGGATGTAGTAAAGATTAGAGTATAAATAAATAAAATCGAGAAGAGTAAAACAATAGAAAGAATCAATGAAAGCAGGAGCTGCTTACTCAAGAAAATAACAAGTTAGAGAAACCCTTAGCCAGACTTATTAAGAAAAAACCAGTGGCTACACACATAAACAGAATCAGAATGGAGAAAGGAAAAATCACTACAGACATCACAGAAATACAAAGAATTATGAGAGAATAGTATGCAAAATTATATACGAACAAACTGGGTAACCTAGAAGAAATGGACAACTTTCTAGAAAAATACAGCCTTCCAAGGCTGACCTAGAAAGAATCAGAAAATCACAACAAACCAATTACTAGCAATGAAATTGAACAGGTAATCAAAAAACTACCTAAGAACAAAGCTCCTTGACCAGATGGTTTCACTGCTAAATTTTATCAGACATTTAGTGAAGACCTAATACACATCCTCTTTAAAGTTTTCCAAAAAGTAGAAGAGGAGGGAATAGTCCTAAACTCATTCTATGAGGACAGCATCACTCTAATACCAATATCAGACAAAGGAACTACAAAAAAAGAAAATTACAGACCAATATCCCTGATGAACATAGATGCAAAAATACTCAACAAAATATTAGCAAACCAAATTCAAAAATACATAAAAAAGATTATCCATCATGATCACGTAGGATTTATTCCAGGGATGCAAGGA